TTATTATTATTATTATTATTATCATTATTATTATTATTACTTTTAATATATTATCTTATTATTCTTACTATATAAGCCGATTATTATATTTTAATCATCTCTCACATTATACATACACCATTCGCGCATTCGTTATTCGCTTATCTATCGTTCGCCATAATATGTAAGATTTTTATTATTCAGTACCGCAAGGGGGTAGACTAGTTTTGAAGAAACAAAAATAAAAAACAGAAAAAAGTTTATGACTGCACGATTGGTTCTTCCACGAAGCGTTACGGGGTTTAGCGAAAATTATTTTTTGTATTGAAACGCGTGAGAGATAGCATTGTCGACGATCTCCTCCTTACCATAGTAAGGGCCATATGGTGCTCGTTCGTATAACTTTTATTCAAATTACCCCTTTCTCGTGTACAACGCTTCGCGGAACGGCCGCAGACCAAATAATATATATATATTATATTATAAAAATTATATATATTATATATATATATTATTTATACATATATATATATTTATGGTACGCGTTTGAATTTAATTTTTTCAAACAAAAAGAATAAGAGCGCGAAGGTTCGAGTTGCGCCTAGTTTGTAGTATATAACTCGTAAGCGATAAGGAAGGTCATAGTGTAAAAATACATCAATATTTATTGTACATAGATCTAAAAAAAAAAAAATACTAACAAATAAAAAACAAATCAAAAAATATAAAAATTCGTGAGTAGTGTATGAACATATATGTGTATATGCGTATTCAATGAGTACACCACGATAAAAGCGCGTATGCTTCCTTGTGTATCATTACATTCGCTTTTTTTTTATTATTTATCATCCGATTATAAAACTTTTCTTTTTTAATTTTTTGGCAAACTCATCGCTGCGATATATTATTGTTTCAATCTGTGAACAAAGAAATTCGTTTTTTAGATTTACATATAGGATAAAGAAGTATTAAATAAGAATGATTGAAATAAAATAAGAAAGGGGAGATGGGAGGAGGAGCAGAGATGTCGCCGAGTGGAAAAAGTTTTGAAAAATTTCATCAATTTGGTATAAAAGAAAATATACAACATTGAATAAAATAAAAACTGTGTTAGTTAGACATACTTGGTCGAGCATCTACGTTTTCGTTTTCTATCTTCCCGTCTTTTTTTTTCGGCATTTGCTAAATCAATATACTTTTTTCTTTGATCAGGAGTCATACGTGTCCATAATTTTCCCGCTGCTCGTGCTATCACTGTTACGTGCTCATCGGGTTTTTTGCTACGCAGTCGCAAGAAAAAAATAATGAAGGGATTGGTGGAACGATGTCCAATAAAATCCTTCGCTAAGTTCTGTGAATTTCGTTTAACATCATTCACGTTTTGCGATTTCTTCGTTTTTCCATTGCGATAACCTGTGCTACGCAAAGTAAAAACTAAAAAGTATATTTTTGTAAATTTTTACATTTGTTCTTTATTAACTTCATAAGATGGAATATATATATATTGATTTTATTTAATACTTTTTTAAAGATAAAACTGTTAAGAAGTACGTAAAAAGATGAATTTTTAGAATAATACTCTTGCTTTTATTTGTTTTTTTTTTTTTTTTTTTTTTTTTTTTTTTTTTTTTTTTTTTTTTTTTTTTTTTTTATATTTAATATTAATGGTATTGTAATAATTTGATGGAAAAGAATGGAATCTGCAACGTAACGTGTAACATATCGGTAGTAACTGACCGACATTAACACAATTAACCTTACGTTGAAAGGATAATAAAGAAAACGAAATAAATATTATCTTGCCTGTCGTTACCGTTTCCTTTTTGGTCGTTATGTGGTTTACATGGCTGCGTGGAGTTTCTGTTTCCCATTCTCCACGTTATTCTCGTATCTTATGCGATCGTATTGTAAAAAAGCATTGCATTACTTGAAAATTTGAATTTTTTTGAATTTCTCGAATTTCATTTAGATATGGTGTAGCGTTCATATTTATAACTATAAATTATTCATTTGTTTTTTAAATGAAAATTTATGTGTAAAAAGGCGATGTCACGATCGACCAATAAGGATATTTGAAAATTTGTCATATCAGTTTTAATACACAAAACAAAGAGAAAATATATTTAAACTTTTATATACATACATATATATAAATATATATGAACACTTATTTAACTTAATTATATATATGTATAATAGTGTAACGTTTTTATTTTAAATATAAAATATTTTATATACCCTCACAAATGGATTATATACAAAGGTCAGAGGTAAGGGAATATAGAAATTATATAAATTATGCATTATTATTACATATATGTGAATCACAATTCTCCACCAGCCTGTGCAGCCCTTTTAGGTTTTTTATTTTTACTCCATTTATCTCCGCAATAGCAAGCATTTTTTTGAGCATCCATATAACTCTTACATCCTAAGGCTGTAGTACCTGTAAATAACATTTTCGCGGCTGTTTTGCAGGTATTCACAATAGTTATTCCAGAAGTTTGATACCCTTCACAATATTTGTATAGACATCTTTTAAATTCTAAATCACACTTGTCTTTATCTGAATTACATGTATCGTAACAGATGTCGTGTTGGTCGCAACACTTGGTCATTTCTGCTAAAGGTAAATACTCTTGGTTTATCTTAAAAAAAAATAAATTACATTAAATCGTTGTAAAAATGTAAAAATCTTATCAAATTATTCTACAACCTCTATTCCCAACGAACCACATCCGTTACTTTGTGGTTTGTGATTCCAATTCGCTTTTGGTGTAACTCCTGAAAATACAATTAATTGTGTCAATTTAAAAAATATTCACAGAATACATTTCATGAACGACCAATAAACGTGTTCATAAGTAATCATCTAAGCGGATTGGTTTCCATGGATAGATAAAATTTACCGTTCATAGATATCAAACCTATTATAGATTTTCACTTAATTTATGAGTGCATAAATAAGTGACGCATGTATGATGAATTATGATTTTATTGTATATTTATTAGATCGATAACAGAAATATAATATAATGCAATCTTTAAATTTATATGAAATTATGTAATTGTTAAAATAGATTTTTATTCTCGCAATATTCTTTTTTTATTGATCGACCAATAATATAATCGCAATAAAAGAAAAATAAAAATGATTTTGCGAGATAAGGATTGATAGGTACACTTTTGTAGTAATTATCGGCAGTAAATGTCTATGCGTACCTGCGGGACAATGGAAGATACAATTTTCTTCGACAGCGGCATCAAATACTTCATGAATATCCTTAATTTTTTTCGCTACGGTTACGGCATTTTCAAGAAGATCTTCAAATATTGATTCGGCCGTTAATACAGCATCTCGTAGATTTCCCAACAATCCAGCACCATAACCCGACCACGCATAAGCGAGAAATGTCAAAATGTAAACCAATATTTTCCGATATTGTGAAAAGTCCATCGTCGTTTGCTCGTTAAAATATTCGATAGACAGGCAGTTTGTTCGGTACACGTATTTGTAGATATTTTTAGGTGAATTAGCTCACTTAGGTGAAATCTACGTTTGTAGACACGTGGTGATTGGAGGCACGTATATCGCTTAATATTATACGTCTCAGACATGTCATATAGGTGGTATCATACAATTCATTTTTTTTATTAGAAATTGGTATATATAATTAACACTTTCTTAATGTTGTAGAATTAGTATAATTTTTTTATTTACTAGTATTTATTTATACTTTATTGTCTCTTTATCTGATTTAAATAAGTGAACTATTTTTATTTCTACATTTACCAATTTGTTTGTTTATAATACTTTAGTGTATCAAATTTATGTAAAAATTGTATTATATATGTAAATGTAAGTACAGTAATCCCTCCGATTCAATAAAAACAACACGTAAATGTAACCATGATAAGCTGTTTAAAATAAGGATACGTTCTATATTTTAAAATATATATTTAGCTGTTATTGGGTAGAAAAGTTAGTTTACGCGATTACAAAATAAATTACACAGAGAAATCCCCGAATTTGTTTCTTCACAAAACGCATCATGTTAATATCGAGGCTACATAAATGGAGGAAATGAATGTATGTATTTCTGTATGTTTGGTATTGTTTGTAGACGGATAAATAATTGTGATTGCTGCAAATAATGAATTACCATTTTGCTTTTTAAATCAATGTATTTGATAAAATTGCTGTTATATATAGAATTCAGTTATTATTATTATGCAACAGAGAATAGAATATGTAGCAAAAAAATTATAATCATAAGTACGTTTTAATTAAAAATACCAGGTACATGGTTTTTAGTAATAATTTATAATTTTTTTTGTAATTCTCCGGTACCATAAAGCTTCTTTACATCAGTACCTCCTCCAAGACATTCTCCTTTAACAAATATCCTTGGAACTGTTCTCGCACCTGTTATTTCTTCCAATATCGATTGGATTTCATTTGCGTCATCTCTTTCATCCAATTCAATGGCAGTATATTTTTTGTTTAGCGAATCAAATATCTTTTGGAAATATATACTTATATAAATATAAACATATCAACTTTAAGACATAAAAAAGAAAACATACCTGTTTTGCCATTTTACAATATGGGCACATCTTTTTGGAGAATATAACAATCTGATCTGAAGCGATCAATTGATCAACCATTTCTCTTGTTGCAGGCATGATTTTTTGTGTACTGGAAACTAAACCCATTTAATTTAAGCTAAAAAGATTAAATATCCTAATATATGTTTATTATGAGTTATGATCAATAAACTTAATTTATTTTAAGATGATATTATAGACTTGATTGTTATAGTTTAAATTACTGCTATTTTTTTTTCTCAAAGCTGCTTTCACTTACAGTCATCGTCATAGTTAATATAATCAGAATTGTGTTGACTAGGTACATTTTCCAGGGTACCAATTAAGGCTACAGTAATTTTGTAAAAATTTATACGCAGTTTATTTTTTATAAAAGAATACATGATGTTTGATATGCTAATACAAGGATCAATTATACATTTCTTTTTATATGCATTATCATAGATGGTTAATAAGTAATATATTCATGTAAATAAAAAAATCAACTTTTTATGATCGAGACCACACCAAAGAGTCATCGAGTTTTTTAAAACGATTTTTCTTTTTTGTTTTAGACAAAATTAAAAACAATGATATTCATTTTTTTATTTTTAATTATTTTTTTTATTAAAAAAGTTGACTACTACCTATATACAAAAATTTGTTAAAAGTCTTCTGTTTTTCGATAATTAATGAATAAAAACATTTGAGAAGCTTTAATGCAAGGACATCTATGACTAATTTGCTTTTACTATGACTAATTTGCTTTTACTATTCAAATATTGTGTGTTCTATTAATTAAGCAAAATAGAAAGTGTACAGTGATTATTTAAACCATTATTATATGTGTAAATATAAAACTTGCAATGATTAAATGAATTTTTTTAAACAATATAAGAATAAATTTACCTATTATTGTTACTGTTTCTGTCGGATATCGTAATGTGTCTTCAAGTTTGTAAGAATTTAATCAATCATGTGAGTTCTAAAATCACTTAGTATAGTCACAGAATACAGAAGTACATAGAAACTCACAAGTCCACCTTTCGCATAACTAGAATTATCTTAGTTAGTACTGGGACCACCAGTGGGCGAGACTAAGTACTTAACGCGATAACGATACAATACTATTGAAGAATATATCATATACTATCGAAGAATACAAAAGAACATAGAATCTCACAAGTCCCCCTTTTTATCTATCCAGTTTTATTTTAGTTACTACTGGCATCACCAGTGGACGATAGCAGATACTTAACGCGATGACAGTACAATACTATCAAAAAATACAATATTCTTTGATAATATATATAGTATAGTTACATTGTAAGAAAATTAAAAATAATTATATCCTATGAAAATGAAACTTATATATATATGACGATTTAATTACATTTATTTTATTCAATGTAATAATATGAAAATAGTATTTTTATTTAGTTGTAATAAATATTTGTTCCGTTCTCTTTATTTGAAAAAATAAATAATTTAAACAGAATGAATATTTTTCTCTTTCGTTCTCTAACCGAATATATTTAGGATTTCTAATTTGTGTTAATGGAATGAGTAAAATAATTAACACAATATTCATTTATTAAATATTTATTTGTCTTTTATATCGATGTTGAATAATATTGAAGGTAAACTTAACCTTTTTAAATTTTATGACAACTCGGTCGATAATGTAGAAAGGAGTACGACATGAAGAAAATAATGTATCTTCATGTATTCTGCAGTCTATGATTGTCGTGTTGGAAGTGCTCTACACTCCTAACATTTGACATTACGAATTATTAAGTTACTTGTAAGGTCTCCTAAATACAAACATGGTGTAAGTAATAACAGAAGTGAAGATGAGCAGGATCTTAAAAACGGCCTGTCCAGAAGGCGGCCTTCATGTCGTCGAGGGCGAGGTTTATTTTCTGGCGGCAGCAATGCGACGGTCCTCTCATCAGGTTAGAATCATCCTTGTCAATTATTTCTATAAAAATAACATTTATTTTAAAGTTTGAATATTAAAATTACACACTCAAGTGTATTGTCGTTTATTATTATCTTCTTTATTAAGTATATGGATTACAGTCATTCTTAAATCAAACAGGTTGTAATTTTAGTATGGCAGGTGGTTTTAAATGGCAGAGTTAAGATTCATTAAAGTAAACACATTAAATGTTAATCATTTGTCGTTTCAAATGATATTTGAAAACGATTCATATTGTAAATAAAACTTGTATTATTTGGTATTGAGATATATTTGCATTATTAAGGGCAATGATCGGGATCCTCTTATGAAAGGCTTGTCAACATTGAAGGAAGCATTGAACGAGGCAAACGATTTGTCTCAGTTGGAACCTGGTGTATTTTTAGCTCCGTTTCTTGAAATCATACGCTCTGAAGAAACTACAGGACTTATTACCAGTTTTGCATTGTCTGCTGTTAATAAATTTATATCTTATGGTTTCGTTAGTAAGTATTATATTATTTTTATATGAAATTATATTGAATTTTGAAGATCTCATATATTTCATTCAATCGTTTCAGATCCTGATCATTCTACAATAGCAACATGCGTAGAAGCAATAGCTGATGCTGTTACTCATGCTAGATTTGTAGGTACAGATGCATCAGGAGATGGAGTTGTTCTTATGAGGATATTGCAAGTTTTGAAAGCACTTATGTTATCACCAGCAGGAGATCATTTATCCGATGAAAGTGTTTGTGAAATAATGCTTAGTTGTTTTAGGATATGTTTTGAAACACGCCTTAGTGGTATGCATTAATTAAAATCACACTAACGTACATTTTTTGTAGAATATGTAGCATATTTTAATATTATTTCATATTATATGTTTAGAACTTTTAAGAAGTACAGCAGAACATTGCTTACGAGATATAGTGCAGCATCTTTTCATTAGATTACCATTGTTCGCTGATGACACGAGAGTTTTATTGAGTATGAAGGTATGTTAATAATTCGATTTAGCTTAACGGGTATTGGATATTCTTCTTTTTTTTTTTTTTTTACATAGAAAATGAGAACAAAAAGTATGGAAAATACACGCACTAAACATAAAAAGAATAAAATTCATTCGAAACCAAGATTAAAATCGAATGTAGATGACATCGATGATGAAACGCATCTTTTAAGTTCAGTCGATAAAGTTAGAGCAGAATATATAGCAACTTCGCCTATTACTTCAGGGGGAAACATTGTAGATATGCAAGGTTCTTTAGATCATGGAATATCATCTGATAAAATAGAAGATGAAAAAAATGAAAACAAAGAAAGTAATAACAAAAACGACAATGTTAAAAACGAGTGTGTTAAGGATGAAATTTCGGAGGAACAAAAACAAGAAAATTTACTAAGTGATACGAAACAAAAAGAAGTTTGCAGTAAGATAGAGAAAATTGATAGTGGTAATGAATCACAAAAGGATGAAATTTCGCAAGTAGAAATCAAAATTGTAGGGAAAGATGATATTCATGCGGAAGTTACATCAGAAGAAGAGTCTAATAATTCTCTTAAACAAAATTTAATAGAGAGTCAAGGTAAAAACATACTTGATTTACACAAAACTTTAATGAATATATTTTTATATGTATATATAAAATTCTCGGTTGTTTTTCTTCTTTAGAAACACGATCAATAGATGAGGAAAAAAGTATTGATACTATACAGTCACCAGTTGGTAGCGTAGAAGATTTATCTATAGACGAAAGTAGTACTAATACATCTAAAATATCAAAAACAAAAGAACCAGAACAAGTAGAAGAATATATTAATACTCAGGGAGTTCGTTTTATGCCACTTCAACAATTAGCACCATATGGTGCTTTGTGTATTCGCGAACTATTTAGATTCTTAGTTTCTTTATGTAGTCCTCTCGATAAACAAAATAATGAAGTTATGACTCATCTGGGTCTTAACTTATTGCAAGTAGCATTGGAAATTGCAGCGGATGCTTTATCTAACTTTCCTTCTTTGCTTTCATTGATGAAGGATGAGCTCTGTCGGAATCTTATTTTGGTAAAAATACAAATTACAAAAATTATGCAAATGATAATATGATCAAATAAAAATATACGTAGTCAATACGATCGATTTCATATTTAAAAAATATTAATATGACTTTTTTTTTTTTTCATAATAGCTTCTCGGGACTGATAAAATGTCGATTCTTGCCGCAGACTTACAAGTGTCTTTTCTATTATTTGAATCACAAAGAGAGCATCTGAAATTTCAAATGGAGCATTATATACTTACTTTAACAGAAATAGTGAGTTTTGACTCTGTTGGGATGTCATACGGACAACGTGAATTAGCACTTGGTAAATATTTATTGAATTTTTAAACCAATTTTTTTTTCTCTTATATCAGTGTTTTAGACGTTACAGTTAATGACTCCATGTTTTATTGATGATAGAAGCCATTGTAAGACTATGGAGAATACCAGGATTACCAGCAGAATTGTATGTAAATTATGATTGTGGATTATATTCAACAAATCTTTATGAAGAATTAATGAAGTTTCTTTCCAAGGTACGCGTTAATGTAAAGAATATATAAAAGTATTAAAATTATGATATTGTCATTAAAGATTTGGATTTCCTATTCACTGTGCTTTTATAGAATGCCTCTCCTCTTATGGGTGATATGCATAGTATGCAATTCATTTCTTTGGATGCAATATTTATGCTTATTTCTGGCATTGAAATTAGATGTAAAGGTTACAAAGAATTATGCAAATCTTCTAGGCATAATTACTCACAAAATCTTCCAACGAAAGAAGAATTACTTACTAGAAAAACGAATAAATGGGTATGTTTTTCTTTTAATATTACTTAAAATTACTAAGTGTATAGAATAACGAATTTTTATTTTTAGTGGTTAATAATAGGGACAGAAAAGTTTAATGACAATCCTCGAAAAGGAATCGCAGAACTTACAGAGCATGGGCTATTGGGAGGCACTCTGGGACATCCTGATCCAGACAAAGTTGCAAACTTTTTGAAAGAAACTCGTGGACTTGATAAAAAAATTATTGGCGAATATCTAAGTAAGAAAGAGAATAAAAATATTCTTAATTCTTTTGTACACAGTTTCGATCTAAGAAACACTCGGATCGATCAAGGTCTAAGGCTCTACTTAGAGTCTTTTAGATTACCTGGTGAAGCTCCACTTGTTTTTCATTTGGTTGAGAAGTTCGCTGAGCATTGGCATGTACGTATGCAATAATGATAAATGTCTTTTATTGCTTTAAGTTTTAAATGCAAATCATGAAACATAATAATTATAGATAATTAAAGATTAAACTACTTTCATTTATTGTTGTAGGAAAGTAATGGCAAACCATTTGCTTCAACAGACGCTGCACTTTCTTTAGCATATGGAGTAATTATGTTAAACGTTGATCAGCACAATAAAAATGTGAAAAAACAACAAACTCCTATGACTGCTGAGGATTTCAAGAAAAATTTAAGGGAACTAAATGGTGGCGGTGCCTTTGATCAAGATTTGTTGGATGAGATATACTCTTCTATAAAGTGAGTATTTCAGAAAGTTTTTTTTTTAATTGTTTTTCAATTACACATTGAGTTTGATAATTTATGAATGAATTTCCAGGGGAGAAGAAATTGTAATGCCAGAAGAGCGAACTGGCTTGGTGAAGGATAATTACTTATGGAGGATGGTATTACGTAGAGGTACTGGACCGGAAAGTTTATATCTGAAAATTGGAAATGCCAATGAGATTGCTGATAAAGAATTGGCAGAGCATGCATGGGCTCCAATTATAAGTGCTTTGTGTAGTGCATATGATAAAGCACCAAATAAAGCTTTACAACGAAGAGTAGCTCAGGCATTTCTTAGGTACGTTATACTTTCTTATTTTTTTGTAATATTTTAACAAAAGAATAAAAAGCAAATATTAATTTATTTTAATTTTAGCTGTGCTGCAATAAGTGCGCATTATAACATCAGTAGTGACTTAGATACCCTTGTTATCAGTCTCTGCAAATTCACAGGGTTGGCAACAGGTAGTAAAAGTTGTTCTAAGGAAGTTGTGATTCATGTAGGGGATAATGGGAAATGTCAATTAGCTACACGTACACTTTTTAAAGTCATGCATTTACATGGGGATGCATTGAGAGCATCGTGGAAAAATATTATTGATTGTTTGCAAGCATTGTATAAGGCAAGATTATTACCAAAGAGCCTTACAGAAGGAGAAGATTTTATAGATCCATCTGGTAAAGTGTCTTTGATTCGAGAATCAACAACACCGAAACAACCCACGGACAACCGAGGAATACTATCTAATTTGTATTATTCATATATCGCATTAGATACTTCTCGAATGGCAGAAGCAACCGCACGAAAAAGAGCTACTGAATTTGTAGCTAATTGCTATTTAAAACAAATTATAGAAGAAAGTAAATTCTTACAGGTAAATAACCGAATAAGTTATGCTATTAATTCCTAATTGTTATGAAATAATTATACTATAGTTCACAATTCTTATGATTGTTTTATGCATTTTTAGGTTGAATCCCTCCGTTCACTTATTGGTGCCCTTGTATCTGCTAATCCAGACGACGAAGATATTTCTGTTTTTCTATTAGAATTACTATTAGAAGTAACTATTCAGAATCGGGATAGAGTAATGTGCATATGGTCAATAGTACAAGCTCGTCTAGATGGTTTGCTTACTATAAGTGCTAGAGAAAATCATCCATATCTTTTAGAAAGAGTAACAGTGGGTATGCTGAGATTGGCTATCAGATTATTACGTGGGGAAGAATTTGCATATACGGTTTTACCACCTTTGCTACCTTTGACTTATCTACCATCCTCCGCTTGTCCACCACTAGCAAGACAGATCGCATATGGACTATTTGAATTAGTGAAAACAGGTGCAGCAAATATTCATAATACGGAAGATTGGAAAGTTGTATTTAGTTTGCTGGAATGTGCTGGAGCAGGTGTCTTATCACCTAAACAAACAAATCCTGTAGTAGATGAAGCAGTAAATAGTAGAGCATCTGTCCTTGATCTTAGACCTATTAGTCCTGTACCGGAGTGGGTACTTGTATCGCCAACAGGAACAGAAGCACCACTTCCGGTTGCCGCTGATACGATAGTTCTAGACCGAGATCTGCAACCTCATGATCCTGCAGCTTTAGTCAAGTGTTGTGAAAGTTTAACTTTCTTAGTTCGAGATGTGGCACACGTAACACCGTTTAACTTTGAGATGTGTGTTCGTTGTATAAGAACTTTTGCTGAAGCTGTACTTCAATGTGCTGGGAAACGTAACAGAGTACATAGCAATTCGGAAGAAACACCTGGCTATCAACAATGTCCTATACACCTTTTGGATTTGATGCATACATTGCACACAAGAACTGCTCAGATCTTTCAATGGTGGGCCGAGGAAAATGGAACGACAGAAGGAGTTTCTTTGTGGCCTCAAGCTTGGAGACCTCTTTTGCAAGGAATCGCGCGTTTATGCTGCGATGCACGAAGACCCGTTCGTACAGCAGCCATTACATACTTACAAAGTACATTACTCGCTCATGATTTAGCTCAATTGACAGCCATTGAATGGTCGCAGTGTTTGGAACAGGTGCTATTTCCTTTGTTAGCTCAATTACTCGGACCTATTGCGACCAATGATCCTATAGGTGTTGAAGAAACAAGAGTTAGAGCTGCCATGCTATTATCAAAGGTTTTTCTTCATCATTTAACATCCTTACTAACCCTTCCTGGATTTCTTCCTCTTTGGCTAACAGTACTCGACTTATTGCGTGCTTATATGCATGCAGATAACAGTGAACTTTTGTTTGAAGCAATACCTGAATCTTTGAAAAACATGTTGTTGGTAATGTCTTCTGCAAATGTGTTGGCACCTAGTTCCAATTTATGGGCTCCCACATGGAGAGCGATCGATGGATTCTTACCAACGTTGAAGGCAGAATTATTCCCTGAACCACCACCTCCGCCACAACCACCACAAATGCAGCAAGTTCCACAAGTTATTAGTTTAATTGGTCAACAACCTTCATTTTCAAAAACCGTTGCTCCTCAAACTGAGCTTCCACATTTGCAAAGGGAAAATATTTCTCATATATCAGAGGTAAAAGTAACTACGTCTGAATTCGAGGGTGTCCCACGAACCGGCGGAATCCCTATTCCAATCTCTCTACCTTCACACGCATTTGAAAATAAGGAAACGTTACAAGTAATTACTTTAGTAAATCAACCGCTACCAAGCGTATCCAGTCCAGTTGCAGTACAACCAGCTGCTCAACGCGTATTCGATATTTGTCAAATAGTGCCACATAAGATGGAACCATCTGAACAACAGCTACATCCGCAATCAGAATTAAAAGAAGAAGATATCGACCGACTTTTGAAGATAAACCAAACGAATGAATATCCTACAACGCAAAAATATGGAAAATGGATACAACCACATTCTTTACAACAGCAAAAATGTTCATTAGAAGATTCTTGCACACAGCCCTTCATTTACAAACAAAATCTGGAGTATCAACATATGGCAACAGTAAATCCCTCACATTGTGCTGATACATCTGAGGTGAATCAATGTCTTGTGTCGTAGCAATAGTGTGACACGTACGGGGTGTCGATTGATTCTGTTAATGTTTTGTTTTTTAATTATATTGAAGAATGTTGTACTCCTAGATCATTTTGAATTAGAACAATTTTTGACATAGTAGCTAACTAAATCGAGATTACTGGCGAATTCATTGGGATTTTATTAGATTTAAGTGTTATTTAAAATGTTTGATATGCGCCTTACGTCCATTATAATGATAAGAAAAAAAAATAGTAATTAGTACGGATAAAGTGCTATCTTTATGCCAAAATAAGTATCAAGATAGTACAAATTATTATTTTTATATACGAATTTTGGAATATTTTTATAATAAATTTGATATAAGAATCAATAAGACATCCAATAATAGATTTGTGTATAGAAATTTATAGAAAACACCAATAGATGTTTGTACTTATTGATGGAGAGTGTAATTGTCTATTTTATTTCCAGACGACGACAGTAGATTCTACAGCAACAACGATGTTTAATTCTGCAGCATATTTTAGCGAGGATCCCGCGGCGGACCGTCTGTTCGTCGTAACAAATCCTTGACAACTGTACATTCGTGATATATATTGTATTATATAAATATTTATGTAAAGGTAAAATGATGGTTTACAGATGATAAATTTTTAAGTGCAATAGAAAGGTATAATATCGGATAAAAGTGAAACCATAAATCTTTGGCTTTTATATTTGGCGTAACGATGATATATACATAAACATATACATATATACACACACACACATATATATATATATATATCTTGTGTATATATATATATAATAATAAAATTATAATATAACATTATATATATATAATTCTACTTACTTGTCTGTACAATTTGTTATTGTCGTGCATATTTTATTAAATTTCTCCTTCGAAATGGGCAGATCTTTAGATGATTATAAATTCTGGTGATAAACGTTCTTAAGTATATATATATATATATATATACGTAATGAATTCAATATTGAATTTCGTAAATTTCATTTGATTGTTAAAAAAATTTTGTTAATGCTCTGTAGCCGTACTCGGAAATGATATTAAAACCAAAGAAATAAATTTATGCACTTCAGTCAAAGTAGAGAAATATTTGCATTAAATTCTTAATTTTCCCGACGACTTTTCGATGAAATAATAATTATATAATAATAATTATAATAAAAATAATAATCTTATATAATAATAATAATAATAATAATATATAATAATAATGATTCAACATATTCGACTCCATTTTTTTCGCATTTCTGATAAATTTATGTCATTTTATTATAATATTAGAGTTGCATATCTGCAGAAAAAGAAATATATATATATATATATCTACATTTATTAATGTTATTTTCTTTGGCGATGGAAAGTTTGTTTTCTTATTTAATAAAAGAGAACTATCTAGCTTCAAACGCGTATAAGTCATATCTCTCAAGCATTCCTAGTCGTTCTGTAACATTTTCAAGTTGTTAAATATGGTTGATAGTAGCATATTCATGTCAAATATTCATCTTGACGAATCTTATATGTATATGTACAGTATCGAATAATGTTTCCTGACATTTATTTTCTTTGGATTGTGACAAATAATTGAGATAATTAAAATAAACGGTAAACTTATGCTCTCTTTGTCCCTTTCATTCTCTGATGTACAAAGATAAGAATCATTTTGTGTCTATTGAATTGTGAATGCACCAATAAGAAAGTGGTGTAAGTTAAAGAATTTACTTTTCAGTTAAATGAAAAAGATTTATAATTACGAAGACTCATAATCAGTCGTGCATACTGCGAATAGATATATATTGGAGAAAATAAAAATTTTAAATTAAATTTTACATTCTTTAACTTGCATCATTTTCGTTTTTTTTATGATTCTTTATTTTTAAATATAATCATTTTTGTACAACAGAGCTTTGCATTCGTGCTCTTATAGATTTCATAAAATCGTCCCTGAGTATGAAAGTCCCGATTCGTTATTTGATCAAAGAATATTGTTTTTGTATCAAGAATAATATTATCGAAATTATCAAAAAGAATAATATACATCCATGCGTTCTTGCACATCCGACAGTACGCATACAAAGTTGTATCAGTAATAGTTCGTGAATTTAGCATTTTAAATGATCGCGTGAGTAGTCTTATGTAGAAAAGACGTACCTATATACGTATATATTTTTGATGTGTATGCTATATCGCTGTTATTGACTACGTCTGCAGTAATATCCCAGAATTTTACATTTCTCACAAAGGTGTTGAGGATGTTCTTTACTTTGGTCGGATACGTCTAAACCATCAGGTTGTTCTAATGGTCTCTAAAATTAAAAAAAACAAGTGAATAATGTATATCATTATATAGGTATATATATATGTTTTGTTTTCAAGGTAGAAAAAAAATGTCCACGAAAAGGAAAATGAAAATTTGTTGTAACATAATCATTCGATGAATCCGCTCAAGTATTTTTGTACAGTAGTCGACGAGCCGGAGCGCGACTATGCAACTATAATTAGCTTTTGCCCGTTTTCTTATACACACATATCTACTAGCATAATACTTGAAGAAAATAATACGACTATCGTGTTGATATAAACAATCGTGATACTGCGTCAGTTAATTTGAAATTCTTAAGATCAAGAATATACTTCATTACGGGAAATTATCAAAAATTTATTATGACATTCTTACCTGTTTATGAGGATACACATTAATATGACATTTCATGCATTCTTGACCCATATTAGCCCAACTATTACCCGACATCCATTTACGTTTGCATTTTGGACATTTGTATTCTCCAAAGCATCTTTTTTTACCTTGGTAGGGTGTAAGACCTTCGCCTTTTGGACGAGCCTAAAGTAAAAAGTTATTTCATATTTTAATCAGATCAAAAAAAAAAAAAATACTTTCCTAATCCAAACGAAAGGATAATTAATTTAACATTTATAAGCTTTTTTGTGTCATATCTTATTTGATACAAAAAAATAAAGATAGCGCGTACAACTCGGTGCGCATGTTTGAAGTGAAACTTCTCGATCGCAGGTGACTATTTAAATTCGATATATATATTAATTTATAACAAATATATGTATATTATTTTGTAATGCTTTCAGTCGTGCCCTATACTCCTGAGTTGGGGTTCCCTTTCAGTTTCCGGTAGTCGTTTGATTTTTGTTACTTTTCTTCGAGCTGTACTCTCCTTTGAGAGTTGAGAATTTTTTTTCGGTATCTTGAGATCTATAAACAATAGAATATATATGTTACCGTGAAAAACCGAAATTGGAGAATATTAAACTACACATAATCGCTTGGTGTATATCCGAAATATTAATGTATAAAAATATACTCAAATATTCGGTGTTTCATCGACATATTTGGTATGTGTTGACGTTCAATCATATGAATCTTGACATTTTCCAATTTCAATCTTTCATGGTAACGTATATATTATATATAACTTGCTTAGTAATAGTATTTTATAATTATTATCTAATAGAACTCTTTTATATATACTAGAACTTCTATATATGTATTATACATAAATGAAAACCAGGTTTCGGCTGCGATGTACTATTCGTTCAGATTTCTTTCTTGTTCTATCTGAAATATGAGGAATACGTGGATAATTCCTCCGAAATTTAGATTAACCGTATGAACATGGTAATATGCACACTGTAATTATGAAAATAAATTATGATATATACTTGGAGTGAATCGAAATGTAATTAATCAATTACGCGATTGTCTTGCACATTGGATTGTAATACACATTGTTACTAAACATCTCACAGTGTTTTTGATTCTTTCTTATAAAAAAGTGCATGCGTTCTCTTTCACAAGAGAAAATGCATAAATAGAAGACTGAAAAATAGGCAATACCATGTATAATATACTTCGTTTCTTTTACTTGCATATGAATTCTATCTTGCGTCTCTCTTACCGTCTAATTTTCGTCACATAGTAGTAACCATAGAAATTGTCTGTTGCAACCTTGAATTTTTTACTCTAATGCGCCTTAAGAAGTTTCACTTCAAAAGGATTCGAGATAAAATCACATTACGATTTAGTTTAATTATAAATAAATAAAATTAATTATATAATTAAAGAAAAATCATAAATAATTATCCTTGTTGTCAACGTAATTGGAGGAATAATCGATTTAAGATACCACGTTATGTAAAAATGATAATATAAAATTGAAAGAAAATATATTAATATTCGACGTAACATTAACGTATTACGATTCTAGTCGTGTAAATACATGTAATGCCTTGCAAAGTAGTATTCCTGACGTCATCAACTTTAGAGTCCTCGTTTGTTGTTTCAATTAACGCTCAATTGATCGGTCGCATCACGCTGTTACATCAAGAAGGCACGCGCTTCGTTTACGAACGGCCATGAATTTACGAGTAACATGCAAGTTTCGAACTTTCTCTGGATGATATTTTAAAGAAAAAAAAATGAGATGCAATAAGCATCATGATTTTACCTGCGGGCAATCTTTGATATAGTGACCTTTTGTAAAACACAAATGACACAAGTACGTAGACGGTGGCCTCTTTATTGGTTTTCTATCTAAAAGGTCCAAGTCAGTAAAATGTTCGGCGAGATCACCGATACTATCGGCTAGACTGGCACCTATTGCTCCGGAAGCATTCAAAGTGTTTTGGTGTAGATAGGTTTGTGAATTTGCCGTCGCATAACTGCTCCATATCGTAGGTAGAAGCTTTTTCTTAAACAATAAGTTTAGTCAAGAGTTTTGGCAATGTTCTATTAGCGAATATAAAGCTTTTTATAGATAGTAATAATACGTAAAAGTGAAAAATCATTAGAAATGATTTACCTGATCGGAAAGTTGCGGCGAGTTTTGATCAGTGATCGCTAAATATACCCAATTCAACAGGTGAGGCTGATAATGAGTTTGCTGTAGCACTTTTTGTCCTTGATTACCGACGCTATTGATAGTACCTAAGCCAACCTGAGTTTGTTCCTGTAGCTGCAGATGTTGTACCAGCGGTCTAGGATGGCAGGTAGCCATTTGTTTTTAGTTAGTGATCACAAGTTTAATTAATTTTACCGTTTCCGATAAGGCCGGCCTAACCGGCTTAGTTGAATTTTCGTTTGACGAACGAGCATCGCCTTAATATAAAAACAATTTTTTATAATCAGCTCTCTTACTCTTTCCCTTTCTTTTTTTTCTTTCGGAGAAATCGTTCTCTTATTATTTATCATCAATTTAACGAAGTACTATACTGTCCAGTTCATTTCAAACGAATTATAATTTTGTTTGACTTGCAATTGATAGTATTAACTCGTATTACTATTATTTAACTACTAACACCGTCTCCGCGAAATTTCCTCGATGCTCGAAGACTTCCACTGTAAGATCACGAAGCTTATATCGTATTTTTAGAATGTTAGCTCACCAAAAGATCGTGAATCTTCATCGAGGCGTCGAGTGTGAACGACGTTCAACAATTGACTCGACTTAACTCGATTCTTTTCACTTTCTTCTCTCCTATAATATTTAATTAAACGAGGTTCTATTAAAAAACATTATGCATATATTTTTTATTATTACTTCATAAGATTCTTTGCTTTAATTTTTCACTTGTATTTCCCTCTCTCTCTCTATATATATATATATATTATTGACTTTCACTTTAATAAAATCTTGATCAAAAAAAAAAAAGAGAGAGAGAGTTTTCTTCTTGAAAATAAGTGTTTGCCACGTCACTAAAACTCAAACGAATTATAATCGTTACAAATTTCTTCGTCACAAAATGATTTCCAAATAAATCCTTGTTCACTGTCAAAAAATTCGGTTCTTTTTTTTTTAACGATCTTTATCATACATTATTATTTCATTGTATATTTATCGGGGAAGACGCGATCAAAGATTTATCGAATTGATTCAATATGAAGTAAAAATCTTCTTCGACTTGGCACTCTCGTTCACTCTGCCACCGTCTTTTTCCCAGCACGCGAACCAGTAGAAAGCCGTACTCTCATTCTCTCACATATAGTCGAAGATCCCCGCCATGTGGTGCATCTATTTCAGTGCTCGTTTTCACTCGCTACAGACTATTGCTGCTAACAGATACGCCTTGAACAAATTCTGTATACGATTGTGTGCCTTCTTCTCTTACTTCGGTTCTCTTCTTCTTATGTTACTCGTTTGTTCTTTTTTTCTTTTTTTTTTTCCCCTTATCCTTCACATCTGTAACTTTTTGTCTTTCTCATTTCTTTACATTTATACATATATCAACGATGTCCATCTCTGGGAGCCCGCGAACCACACAAATCAATATTTTTAAATAAGAATTTAAATAAACACGTATCTTTGTTAATATAAATTAAAAGTTGAAATTAAAAGAGATATGTGTTTTATATAGAAAACTTATAACAGCGGTCCCTATTTTATGCTGTTCTTAAACTTGCGTATGCATTAATTTAATCAGTTGTTTCTCTCGTCCAAAAATAAAATTCTTAATGAGAAGGTATCACAGGGAACTTGGACATAAAAAAGGAAGTAGAACTTAATTTAACTAAGTTGAACGTTTCGTCCCTTTATTGGGACTTCTTCAGCAACTTAATCTTTACAGTTCAGCGTCTTTTTTCATTGAGTAGACATACACTTTTATTTTTATTTTTAATATTCAAAATACAAAACATCTAAACTTCGTTAAGTATTGGCTCGTTATAATTGGAAACACTCAAACGTATGTTTGTATTTCAACTATGTTTTTAACAAGGTTTATTTTATGGGACACGTATCCTTGTTGCTGCATTTGCCAGAGTTAAGATGAGCCCTAAAAGATATAATAGTTTAATCCTTAAGGACCACATCTAGAATTATGTAGAAGAGTGCTACGTAAAAATGATTATCATGCCAGGGTTCTCAGAAAGAAGCTATACATTAGTGATATTAATAAGAAGAAAAAATTAAAATTCGCCAAAGAATTTATTAGCGAAGATGATTCCTTTCTGGAATATAAAGTAATATTTATAATTAATAGTAATATTTTAAATTAAATAGTTACTGTATATTACATTAATATATTTTTATAAAATT